TGGGACCACAGGCGCCCGCCACAACACCCGGCTATTTTTTGGTTGCAGCCGTCATTTGGCGGGTCCGTGCTGGGGATTCGAACCCACCACCTTAGGTGTATGTGGCTGGCGCCTTAGCCGGGTGAGCTATAGGCGCCTAGCCTAGACTATTTTCTAATGTTGAGTTTTCTCCCTAAGGCTTTTTATATAGTTTATATAAGTTAAATGACATAAATCTTCCCTCAGTTGATAGTTTCATCATATCCAGCATTATTTCCGCTATGTAAAATATCTTCTGATCTCCATTTGGGTCTGATTTTCCGTGTGCAGTAGTGTTCATATCAAATCAAGCCACCCACCTCAGCCTCCCAGAGTGCTAGGATTATAGGCATAAGCCACTGTGCTTGATGATTTCCTATCAGTTTTAATTTACTTTTTAAAAAATAATGTCTTTACAGTGTCCATTCATTGTTAATTAGAATCTTAATTACCTACTTAATTTGGCTTCTGACATATGTGGCCCTAGACTAAAGTACAATCACAATTGAGGGTACTTCCTACTAGGGGTTTATAACAGAACAGCTTTCTTTCTTTTTCTTTCTTTTTTTTCTTTTTTTTTGCAGTTTTTGGCCAGGGCTGGGTTTGAACCCACCACCTCTGGCATATGGGGCCAGCGCCCCACTCCTAGAGCCACAGGCACCACCCTTTTTTGACTTTTTTTTGTGAGACAGAGTCTACTTTGTTGCACTTTGTAGAGTGCTATAGTGTCATAGGGCACAGCAACCTCAAATTCTGGGGTTCAACAGATTCTCTTGCCTCACTTTTTTTTTTGAGATGGCCTCAAGCTGTCCCCCTGGGTAGTGCTGTGACATTACAGCTCACAGCAACCTCCAACTCCTGGGCTCTAGTGAGTCTCTTGCCTCAGCCTCCCAAGTAGCTGGAACTATAGGTGCCCATCACAACGCCTGGCTATTTTTTGGTTGCAGCCATTGTTGTTTGGCAGGCCCAGGCTGGATTTGAACCCGCCAGCTCCAGTGTATGTGGCTGGCGCCTTAGCCGCTTGAGCCACAGGCACAGAGCCTTGCCTCACTTTTTCATCTTTATTAGAGACAGTTTTGTTCTTAGGCTAGTCTCGAACTTGTGAGCTCAAGCAATCCACCTGCTTCGGCACTCACAAGAGTGTTAGGATTACAGGCCAGAGCCACTGTGACTCTCTTGCCCAGGCTCGTGTGAAGTGGCACTGATTATAGCTCACTTCAACCTCAAACCTGGCCTCAAGGTATTCTCCCACTTTGTCCTCACAAAGCACTGGGATTCATATTCAACGGGCCTTTGTCTCACTTTGTCACCCTGGATAAAGGTAGAGTGCCGTAGCATCATAGCTCACAGCAACCTCAAACTCTTGGGTTCAAGTGATTGTCTTTTCTCAGCCTCCCAAGTAGCTGGGACTAAGGTGCCTGCCCCAACACCCAGCTGTTTTTTTTAGAGGCGAGGCCTTGCTCTTGCTCAGACTGGTCTTGAACTCTTGAGTTCAGGCAGTCTATCTGCCTCATCCTCCCAGAGTGCTAGGATTACAGGCATGAGCCACTGTGCCTGGCCTGAAGAACAGATTTAAAAGGGCACACATTAAAGTTTTTTACTTCCAATATTCAGAGTACACTGAACAAGTCAGTATATGAGAGTTTCAGCTCATTCAGACCATCAAAATTCTGAATTGCTTGGTGCAGATAAGGCTTCACTCTCCATCCTAAAAGATTCCTGTGTGCATATGGCATCAGAACAGTGAGATTCTCAGGGAAGAGAGCAAGTCTTAATGCAAGCCTTTGACTGTTAGGATAACAAAACTTTACAACCTTTTAGAATGTTTAGCTTTCCTGAGCATGCCAAATCTTTTCCTTAGAAAAATCAGGAGGAATGATGCCAATTACTCCCCAATTTGTTTAAAGGGGAAGTAGCTGTTGCTGAGGTTGAGTAAGGTCACAAAATTAGATGTTTTATAAGTGGTAATTTGTATTTCTATTGACAAAAACCAAGGGATTGATGTACTTAAAGAGTCTAGGCTGTAACTGGCTATAGGCAAGCATTACTTACTCTATTGTATTTTTTCTTTTCATTTGAGAACCACCTGACCTAAGGGGGAAAGCACCTCATTATAAGTGATCAGGGATATATTAACTCACTGTAGTTTAAAGAATAGTTAATAGTTTAATTTTCTGCTATAGAGTCTTAACAAAGCTTCGTTTTTTAAAAAATAATTTATTTTGCCATAATTAGCTATTGGTATTTAGAGAAGAAAGTAGAGAAGATGATGGAAAATAGCTCATCAAACTTGAAGAAGCAATAAATTCATTGGTGTGAATAACTAAGGGAAAATTCATTTGAACCACACAGCAGAGTAGCTGATTGTCATCACTTTGGTTACCACTGTATCCCATCTCGTCTTTCAGTAATAGAGGTACATCTCCTGCAAGTTACCAGTATAGGGAACTGGAGTGAATTTTTAAACTGTCAAGCAGACAGAAATAAGACCAGTTTAGCTAAGAACTCTCTTGCGGCCTTTCTTTAATGGTATGTGTTGTAAGTTCTTTGCTTTCCAAAATTTTCTTCTTTTTTGCTTATGAAAAATGATGGTAATTGATAAAAGAACCAGGGTGGAGAAGAAGCAACAACCCAAGAATATCAGCGGTTTCTTCCGCACGAGGAATAAGCAGGCGGTGCACTCTTTGTTTCTTTGAGTCTGAGTGCATTTAAGGCTGCTATTCTCATCAGAAGGGAAGCCACTGTTGCTGATGACTTTGTTGTAGAGCTGTATGGAGGACTTAGCTTTCAGATCAGAGGAGAAGAATCCAAATCTGGGTTTAGATTTTTCTTCAGTCAGTTTGAATGCATAATAGCCTTTGATTTTGATTTTATCAATTAGATATGCTGAAAAATACCAGAAATGAACATTATAAATCACAAGTGAACTGTGAAATATCTATGAATAAGAATTCCATTTTCATTGAAACAAGCTGAAGTTAAGCCCATAAAAATAGTGATTTGTCCTACTTGGAAGGCTGAGGCAAGAGAATCGCTTAAGCCCAAGAGTTTGAGGTTGCTGTGAGCTGTAATGCCATGGCACTTCACTGGGGGCAAGGAAGTGAGACTCTGTCTCAAAAAAAAAAAAAAAAAAGAAAAAATGGAAGTAAAACTGATCCATAAGTAATCCAAAATTGAAGATAAAAGCAATTTAAGAAGCAGAGCCACAAATGTAGAAGTACTTGTCACCTTTGTTGAAAGAGTTCATATGCAGGAACTCTAGCCTTATGTTAAACCTTATGTTCTTGGTGTTGCCCAATAACCACACTTGGTTTCTCCTCGTTGCTTATTCTCCTGATTGGTTATTTCACACTTTCCCTTTCAAAACTTAGCACCACCTCTGTCATCTTTGCTTTGAGATGATACCCTTGCTTCCTACTTCATTTAAAACTAGAAGCACTTGAGAATTTCTTCGGTCTCACAATTACACCTACTCACCTTCTGGCATCTAAACTGTGTACTCATGTATAGTCTGCCTTTGCTGTTATGCTGCCCTTGGTAGAGTGCTGTGGCATCACAGCTCACAGCAACCACAAACTCTTGGGCTTAACCGATTTTCTTGCCTCAGCCTCCTAAGTAGCTAGGACTACAGGTGGCCGGCTGTTTTTTTGTTGCAGTTGTCGTACAGGCCCAGGCGGGGTTCGGACCCCCCAGCCTCAGTGTATGTGGCCGGTGCCCTAGCCATTGTGCTTCCTCTTTTTAGTATGGATGACTCCTCTTAAAAGTTTTTTCCAAGTAGCTGTGACTACAGGCACTTGCCACTACACACAGCTGGTTTTTCTTTTATTAGTAGAGATGGGGTCTTGGTCAAACTGGTCTCCCATCTCCTAAACTCAGGTGATCCACCCACCTTGGGGCTCCCAGAGTGCTGGGATAATAGGCATGAGCCACCACACCCAACCCAAAGTGTTTTTTTTTTTTTTTAGACAGAGTCTTACTTGGTCACCCTTGGTACAGTACCCTGACTTCATGGCAACCTCAAACTCTAGGGCTTAAGCTATTCTCCTGCCTCAGCCTCCCATGTAGTTGGGACTACA